CAGAAATTCTTCACTGAAACAGATAGCAATTCATGAGTTATAAAATACACTTGTATATACACATATCTTTAAAGTTTACAGATTGAGAGAGGTTGAACACTTGAGACCAATGAATTTGATAATTGCAAAAGAAAGCAATGCATAAGCATGTTATATACTGAAAGCACATTACAAGCATTTTCTAGACAATTACGAGTTCCTAAAGTCAACAGAAAAGCTTATTCGGTTCATTGTACCTAACACTACTCTTCCTATTACTTTAGACCAAACTTTTTCTGATGCTGCTGAACTTCCTATTTTATCCTCTCACCGCTTTAACAAGAGGAAATAGTATGACAGGAAGTTTTCGTTTTGAAATTTGACTTTAAACAAAAAACAAAGTAAAATGGGAATGATTAGATTATCAGTCTATTCTTACTTGAAATCTGATGTAAAATTAGAATCGTCAGCTGTATAACTCTATCTTTCGTTTTCATTTTTCATGTTTTGTTGGAAACAAATTATGATGTTAATTTTTTTTTTTTCCTTTGGGAAACTTATCTAGGTGTATGTGATTATATGGAAAGAAGCTAAAGACTTACCTTCTGCAATACTAAGACTACTTAAGAACAGTATGTTTATTCTCTATAACATAATGAAAAGTTTCAACACAGTTGTTTTTGCAAATGGCTAGTGAGAGGATGACTTAAATTCATATTCCAAAATGAATTAAGACTCAAACTAGTAACTGCAGAAACATGGCCAATGTGTTGTCCTACTGACTTATTCCTTATTTTGTTGTTGCTTTGTTTTAAATCAGGCTGCTTGAAACAAGCTCGGTATTCCTAGCTGTTCTTCCTACCATATAAATGTCTATATAAAATTAGTACTAGCAAAAGGAGAAGAAAAGCTTTCTGAACTTTTAAAGAAATAAGAGAAAATATGTGCTTGCATTTCACAGGATGCTGATATCTGAAAAAGAAAGTTAATTTCATTCTTTGACTAGTAGAATTTTTAGAAAGGCAAGATGTAAGATGGACTGTGAGTGAGTTACTAATATTTCTTCCTCAACTCATAGGAAGTTTGTCACATTTCCCTGTACAACACTGGATGCAGAACTGAGACCCTAGTTAAAGAGGCAACTTCAGTTTTCTGAGGGATGTCAAATAAAAGGACTATAACATCAGAAATCAATGACTTATCCTAACAGTGGAACTGAGGTTTTGTAATACCAGGTTCAAGAGAAACAAAGGTTTTAAAGATTGTTCTAAGGCCAGCAGCAGTCCAAAGGAAAGTGACTTTAAGTAGGTCCATCTTCAATCCTCAAAGGAAAAATAAATTTTCAGTAAAATCTGATCTGTTCCTCCAATCCCTGATCTAAAAACTCCAGATCCAACTGGAAGACAGAAGCAGAAAGAACCAAGATCAATTATCCTGCACTCTTTTGAAGCTATACACCAAACTTCTCATGGTCCAGATATGGAATGAAGAGGTCTTTTATATATATCTTTCACAGAGGTCACTTACTTATAAACTACACAAGTGGAAGATACTAAAGAGCCATCCAGGGACCACTTCTTCTGGTGAGGCTCTGACATCCTATACATGTTAAGATTCTAGATCCTTAATAGATGTCTTACTATATATAATGTAATTAAAAAATATTTTTGAAATATGAACAAGGGAAAATTTACTTCTCTTAAGAAGAAGATACTAAAAATATTGCTTCTGTCCACAAGTGAATGAAGAAAAGTAGGTATGCAGGCAGCACAGGAGAGTGCAAAGACAGGGTAAAGGTATACCCTCTCAAAGTGAAATAAAGGCTAACATATTAAAATAGCCCAATTAGGCCTTTTTGAAATGTTAGTACTTGACTAAATACTAAAAAAGAGGACATCAGAAAAATGCTGACTTACATTGTTGTCATTGTTGTTAGGTACCGTCAAGTCAGCTCTGACTCATAGAAGCCCTATGTATAACAGAATGAAACAACGCCCTGTCCTGTAACATCCTCATAATTCTTTCTATACTAGGCACTAACAATTATCAGATTTCAATACACTTTAAATTTATAGTAAAAAAAAAAAAAAAGCATTTAAGGGAAATATTTATCATAAAGACTTCCATTTCATTCATTAAATAAATCCTCCTGGAGGTCCTTTGCAACTCTATAGTTCTGCAAACCATAGTTTTCAACTACCCTGACCTCTTACAACCATTACTCTACACACATGCCATTATTTGAAGATTTGTGAGAAAAACCAGCATTTATCAATATGGATTTTTCTCAGTTGAAGTTCATGCTTCCAATTAAGCATGGCCTGAGGGAAGATTTAATTCATTGACTTTCTTTCAGTTCATACATAAGGTTCCATAAGTACAGGATTCTTTATCTAAAGTTATTGTCATGTTTAAAAATTCTTAGTAAGCATAGACTAATCTAGTAAGAGAAAGGGTCTGTACCCCTAAAGAGAATGAAATCACATTATTATCAAGCCAAATACGATTACATGAATGGTGTTGTCCAGTTACAGCATCATATATCTGTGGGCCATCAGAGTTGTGTTCTCTGATCAGATGCCAAAATATCATGCAAAATTGTTAGACTAGGAAGCCCTCTTCAGGTAGCACTACTTTGAAACTCCATTCCAGCTATCAAGATCAGAAGGGTTAGTACAGATTTTAGCCACATCTGTGGTACCAAAGTCAAACTCCTAACTTATCCTGTGCCACTAAACCACTTAATTTTTTCTGTTTCCTAAGTTTTAACATCAACTATGGTATTGATGCAAATAACAAAAGCACACATCAGTTTCTCTTTTCAGGGTTCAAATCAGGATCAGAATTCAATTTTTTTCTAATCCATTTTGATAATTTTTCTATTGGAAGTTGGATTTCTTATTATTCATCAGACTACATTAATATTTCTAACACTTAATAATAATAGTTCAAGATATCTAAGGATATTCCTACTCTTGTTGGAGGTTGATGGAAGTGGTTATTATCATAAATTATTGTAATCACTATGAGCCATTAGCACCCAAGAGTCACCCATGGCTAAATCTTAACCAGAGATTTAGAAAGCTTTCTTGGTCTATTAGGAAATTTAAGGGAAGACATTTCCTAAATGCCCTTTTATAATGACACAGTAGACCAATCTTTGATGAGCAGGCATTTTTATAGCTGGATTACCCTCCTTGTGATTTCTGGAAAGTTAAAAAATGTTTTGTGCAGGAAAGGGTCTCTTAGAATTGTACAACAGAGAAAATCGGATGGGTCTGTTTCCGTCTCTCTCTCCTTAAATGACTCCTCCTTACCGCAAAGGCCAGTAAGACTGGAATGGTATATCCATTAACAGGAAGGCTTGTAGTTATCAATCTTTTACAAACTACTTAATCAGAAGATTCTAGAGTGTTTCTCCAGTAGAACATTTTCTTCCCTGTCCACTTAGCTTTTACTTGATGTTCTATCTGTTACAGGTACAGACAGCTAAGGTTACAGAAACCTGGATGGAATTTAGAATGCAATGCAAGCTGTGTCAACACATGAATGTGAAAGAAATAAAAGTGCCATGTAAAAAATGGAAGGAAAAGTAAAAGTCATTGTGTCTCATCTGGTTAAGAAAGGGTACTTAGTCATATTTCCAATGCTAAAAAGCCTCGATCTCTGTCTCCCAAATTCCATGTTTAAAGTAACTGAAATCTCAGCTTCAAGCCAGGATATCTGTATCCAGCAGAAACAAGAAACCTCACGGTCCTGTACTCACAAAGCTCCAAAGTAATCTTGGTTACTTTATTCATACTTTTGACATTTAAGACACCAGAAATATAATCTCCAGTACATTTTTCCTTATACCTGTCATGTTGCCACAAGAAAGCATCGAGACTATGACTAAAACCTGTGAACACAGATCTGTGACTACACCTCTTTCTAAATTATTCAAGCAGTTCAAAGCCTGAAGCCGATTACTTATTTCCATATGGAGAAATGTGTCAGCACTAACTATAGGACTCTATCTAGTACCACTACAAAATGGAAGTCGGCAAGCAACATAAGCAAAGTCTCATAGAAGACTGCACTCTCTGGCTATAATGAGTTATTTGGTGAAATACTGACTTTCAAGGGGATATTACATTTGAAATTATCTTTCTACATAGAGAATTCTGACTCTGGAAGATTGGGAGCTCTCCTGAAGTCATGTTCTGACTAAATACAGCATGCCTTTGGTTTAAATAAACCTAAAAGGGTGAGAGAAAAATTTCAAAATGAAATTTAATCTATACCTAATCTGATTCACCCATGTCATTCAATAATCAACTCTGAAATAATATTGGAGGTAAAATTTATTATAAGCACCTAAAAAGTCTTTGTCTCTGCTCTTTGCTGGCCCTCCCAATTCTTACAGTCTATTCTTACAAGATTTCTCTCCTGCAAATAAGGATTATACTATTTTTACAAAGTCTTCCTATAAACTCTCAATCTCTCTCTTCTTGAAATTTTTCCATTATTTGATTTAAAAAAAAAAAAAAAAAAACTGCTCTCATTCAAAGAGCAGGAGTTGACTGAATGACAAAAATAATACACACACATGCATTGTGACATGATTCAGAACATATGGAATGGATTGTGAAAGTAAGGGAGGAATGAACTTTATTGCCCCACAGACAGGATAAGAGTATGAGAAGGAAAGGCTAAGGAAAGGAATGAGTATGGGTGGGGAAACTAAAATTGAGTGATTTAAAATGTGCAAATTCACTTTGCAGCCTCTGCAGTTCAACTTAGAAAGAGTTATGTACAGTAATGTACAGTAAAAAGCAGATAGTCTAAAGTGAGTTTCACTTTGTAGTTGACACTACTTGTACCAGTTCTATCATTAGTAAGTCAGCAGTTAACTCTGCCAAAGTCAGACAAGGCTCTCTCTGGTTAGTGCAAACAAGGTTTTCCATCCTGGGCTGCAGTGTCACCCGCCAGAGCTCAGAAGGCATGCTTGTGATGAACTCGCACACTTTCCAGTTCCCCACCTCCAATGGCAGCCAGGGTTTCCAGCCTGCTTAAGCGTTCCAGGCTTCTTCCGAGAACTTCTTCTAGCCGACTGCGTAACACCTGGGCCCCTTCCAGTTCCACCTGCAGAGTTCGGTCTCTCTCAGAGCTGATTAAACATGCCACATGGAAGGAAAATTAATTAGCAATCAACTGTAATGAGTCCACATGTTTCCAAAGAGCCATCAACACCTCTGTGAGCCGCGAGACTTTATAGTTATTCTCCAGGACACAATAAATGAATGTAGTCTTTGTCATGGCACCTGTGTTCACTGTCAGTATATTAGGAAGGCCCAATCCTTACTTTAAGCTTACCCCTTTATGCAAGATGCTAGGCCAATCTCACAAAAAAATTGATAGAGCCTACAGTTTATCTCATATGCGTATAGCCCATATAAGAAGAATTTCATTATTTGACTGAGAGCTTTACATTCTGATAAAACAAAATCTAAGAAAAACTAAATGCAAACTGAAGCAAGACTGAGCCAACTAGGACTACCACTGAAGATATAGGTTTTTTCCTTTGTTAATAAACTAGACAGCGCTCTGGAAAGGAATCTGGTTTACAGAGACTAAAAGATCAGAGGTCCTATAAAAAGTAACACAATCAGGTAGTACTATGATAACTTTCCTCTGCCTTCACTTTCTTGAGCTGGAAAGAAAAAAAAATTAACAGTAAGCTAAAAGAAGCTAGACTGTAAAAGAATAAAAATTAGGACAATTAAGGTAGAGGGGAAGGGCAAAATAAAAAAGAAAAGAAAAAGAAGAAGGGAATATAAAATGAACCAGAAAGATGTATATCATCAACAAAAAAATCAAGAGTTACAAAAAATACATCCATCATGATAGTTAATGTCACAGCAAATCACTGATATACAATGACCATCAGTGCCAGTGATAGCCTTACTCCTATAGTAACAGACATGGAACAGAGAAAGGCAAGGAACATATACTGTGTGCTTATTACAAGCCAGGAACTGGTTTGGATACTGGACATATCTTCTCATTTAACCTTTGCAATAAATAGCTAAGTAACCAGGTATTATTGTTGATTTCTGATTTAGCCATCGAGGCTCAGAGAGATTCACACAATAAATGACAAACTGGATAGCCCCTGCATTGTCTCTGCCTCCTTGTTCTCCACCCTCCAGTACAGTAAGCACTGGTACTTGATAAGAAATAAGAGGGAAAACATTACAGACACTCCCTTACCTCTCTGGGTGGGCATGAAACTTCACCAGACTGCTATAGAGCTGTCTCTCTGCTTGTAAGGCTTCATTGAGACGGCTCCGTTCATCTACCAGTCCTTCTAGCATTAGCAGCAACTGAGGAAAGATGAAAGAAGAAACAACATGCAAATGGTCAGGTAGGCAAGAAGCTGTAGTTAATCCTGAGAAAAGAGAGCAAAAGAAGGCATTAGCATATGATGAGTAAAAAAGCCCACTACCTTATTACTTCTTAAGCTTTCTGTAACAATTTACAGTTTTCAAATCAATGGCAAAGTCATTATTATTATTATTATTATTAATCTGTAAAGCCCTCTAAGGCAGAATTCAAACATGGAGGAAAGAGTAGAGAGAGGAGGCAGAAGCAAAGCAAAGCAGCTAAGGAAAAACGGTAGGGAGAGAAAGAGAAGGAGGGGTGCGGTAGAAGCACATATAGTAGCACTTCCTCGTATTCTCCATTCACTCAACACATACTTATCAGGCACCTTCTATGTGTCAGACTCTGTTCTAGGTTTTAAGGATAAGCTTATTATCTAGTGGGGAAAACAGACATTCTTCCATCACTGTCATGTATCACTGAGAGCTGCAGTAAATGCTATAAAGACGACATGCTAGGAGAAGTGCTAGTAAGCAGAGATCTGTTTAAGTGAACGAGCTAAAAGCCAGACTGGAGTGGGTAGAGTAGTTAGTGACAGAGATGATAATGGAGACATAGAATACAGGTAAATCAGTCTTTTTGAAAAGTCTGGCATCTAAGAGAGATTGGACAGAGGGAGATGTTACAAAGGACTTTGGGGGTGAAGCAGGGTTTTTTAATCTGCTTTTTTTTTTAAGTTGGGAGAGATTTGAATATGGTTAAATGAAGGTACACAAGGCAGCTTTAGTTGAGAGGGAAAAACTGACAGTGGGAGTCCAATAACTATTGCTCCCTTCAGCACTACAAATATCAGAAAAGGACATCTATGGCTGTTATTGACCAAGCCAGGAAATTCACCAATCTCTATGAAACACCATCAACTGACTACTTCATAAATAATTGAGATGACAGCCTTTCCACTACCTAGTTCACAGCACAAGTAAGGTTTGTATTCCAACTACTAACTTGCTGTCTTCGGTTTCCTGAAGTTTCTTGACCCTGAGATTCTACTGAAGCCACTTTTTCACGAAGAAGTAAGACTTCTTGGGTCAGGCGTTCCATAGCTGGTATGTCTTCAGGATCAACCAGTTGCATTTGCAGGTCCTAGAAATAAAAAATAAAATTAGTATAGTAGTAAGATACAATTCAGCAGAAGAACAAAGGAGCAATTGCTCCTGGACTAGTCCACCATACTTTCAAGAGGGATGTTGCTAATGAAATTTTACGAAATCTGTGCAACTATTATACAAGTCAAGGGGAATATGTGATATTAGGAGGCTCAAATTACAGTACACCAAGGAAGTAAGCACTGGCCCAGGGACTGAATGTTGTTTGAAGATGCCCTACTAGTACTGTGAGCTGCAATCATTCCCAATGGTCTTTAAAAAGCTTTGAAAGACCTTTATGAGGTCTTCTTTAATCTGGATGTTCCTGGTCAGGGACTCCATATCAGCAGCCTGCACTTGCAGCTCTTCTTCTTGCACAGCCACCATAGACTGTAAAGCAGAAAGTTCCATCTGTCGGGAGAAGAAATCCTGATGTTAGTGGGCAGAGGAAACAGTATCTGTCACATTGATGCATTCACATTTTAATACTGAGGCAAAATGTGTTTCTATATCATATCACTATTAGCTGGTAATACAAGTGAAAACTGGAACAGGAACAGTGCACTACTGGATCAACTCAACAAACCAATCAGGGTGGTACTAAAGCTGTAGCAGCTGTTTTTAATGATGTCTTCCATTTGAGTTCGGTGCTGTCAAGTTGATTCCGACTCACAGTGACTTTACAGGACAGAGTAGAACTGCCCCATAGGATTTCCAAGGCTGTAAATCTTTACAGAGGCAGACTGCCACATCTTTCTCCTATCGAGTGGCTTGTGGGTTTGAACCACCAATCTTTCAGTTAGCAGCCAAATGCTTAACCACTGCACCACTAGATTCCTAGTGAAACATAACAGGTATGTTTAATTTGTGTTTATTGAGATATTTAAAAAAGTAGTTACATGCCATTAGTGAGTGTAAGAATAGCTGAAAAAAAAATGTATGGAAGTATCACAGCTAATAGATGAAGAAATGATAGCATAAGAATATATCCATTATGTGCCGTTGAGTTGGACCTGACTCATAGCGACCCCTCCTTGGGTTTCGGAGGCAGTATCACTACGGAAGTAGATTGCCCATCCTCCTTCCAAGGTGTGGCTGGTGGGTTTGACCTGCCAGCCTGCTGGTTAGCAGTCAAGTGGCTTTAGGCACTATGCTACCAGAGCTCCCAATTATGGTAATGGAAATACCATTACCATAAAGAAGGTGTCCTTCAGTGGCAAAAACAGTTAAGTGCTCTCTACTGCTGGCCTAAAGGTTTATGGTAATGGAAAATTATTTGTAAAGCACCCTGGTGGCACAAACTATTAAGTGTTCAACTACAAGCTGAAAGGTTGGCAGTTCCATCCCATTAAAATAAACCCAGTGGTTCCACAGGAGAAAAATCTGGCCATATGCTTCTCTTAAGATTACAGCCAAGAAAATCCTATGGGGCAGTTCTATTCCATTATGTGGGGTCACTATGAGTCAAAACAGAATCAATAGCATCTAATAACAATAAGTTATTTGTAAGTAAATATGCTAAAGAAATATTTTAGGATAATTCACAAAAATAAAATAGGTGTAACAAGAGGGAGCTCTGGTGGCATAGTACCTAAGTAAGGCATTTGACTGCTAACCAGAAGGCTGGCAGTTCAAACCCACCAACTACTTCTCATAAGGAAGGTTGGGCAATCTACTTCCGTAGACCACCTCTGAAACCCAAGGAGGGGTCATTATGAGTTGAATCAACTCGACGGGAGTGAGTTTGATTTTTTGGTTTGGTAACAAGTAAAGACAGATGGCACACAAGCTAGTTTAAGATGTGACCATGCTCCCTGAAGAAGTAGTAGCACCTATTCCCTTAAATATATAAAATTTAAGTTACAGTGATAAAAATTTTACTTGTATATCTTCTAATTCCATCAATGTTTAGAGTATTACTGTGTGGGCTCATGGTAACTTTTGACTACACAAAGTTATTTGACTGTTTTGGGCTACTGTGGCATGTTAGGAGGAAATGGTTCTCCTAACATTGCCTTCCATGTTGAAGGAGCTTAATTAGCATAACTCCTGACTTCTCTTCACCCCTTTACTCCCTCAGCCCCAAGGAAGTAAAGGCATTTATCTGATTGGAACACAGGGGAAGAATAAGCCAGGCATGCTGGACTTAAACCCATCCTACTTCTTAAGAGACAGCTGTCTGCAGGAAGCCCGTTCTATCCACTACTTCTCCAAGGGCAGGCTCTTCCCACCCTATAGTGTGGTCTGCCATGGTCCAGGGTTCAATGTTGCCTATGAGTGAGTGAGTGAGTAGGTAAATCTACTTAACTCTGGGGTTTGGCTAGAAGGCCCACATGGCTCTTGAATTAAGTCTCTACTTAAGTCTTTATCAGTAATAAAATTGATAGAGAGCCAAACTGTCTGCCACTACCTTATTTCTCAATTTGTTCAGATTTTGGGTATGGAGAAAGGGGTGGTATTTATTTGGCCCTCTTTAAGAACTCCATCATTATATATTCAGGTATTTGCTCCACTAAAGAAAAATGAAAGCATAAAGAATATAAAATATTGCATATAAAGATCTTCAGTCAGAGAAACATGAGTTTTAAATCCTGGCATAATGTCCTTGACAAGGCATTTTAAACTGAGCCTTGGTTTCTTCAATTATAAAATGGAAATAATACCTACTTTGCAGGGCTGTGTGAGAACTACAGAAAACCTATTTAAAATGCCTGGCACACAGCAGGCAATCAATGAATGGGAACTAGCACCACTGTTACTGCTACTACTATCATTATCTCAAGACAGTAGAAAGAATGCTTGAAAATATAGCTCGTGGTTTTTAGTAAATACTAAATATTACAGGAGTTGTGATAATGAATATATATAGTATTAGAAAGAGGGGTGAGTAGTTCACTAAGGTTACATCCCAAACTCACCGCCGTTGAGTCAGTTTTGACTCATAGTGACCCCTCCTTGGGTTTCCAAGGTGATATCGCCATGAAAGTAGATTGCCCAGTCTTCTTTCGGAGAAGTGGTAGGTGGGTTTGAACCTCCTACCTTCTAGTTCTAGCAGTCAAATGCCTTTGGCACTATGTGCCACCAGAGCTCCCAAGGTTACACAGAGGTAAGCAATATAGCTAAATCACTCACTCACGATACACATTTATAACTTTTAGAATTTTATGATCCAGAAAACAGATCAGAACTAAAAAAGTAATATCACTGTGGCTTGAGTATATATGAGAAAAATGGAACATTATGTGAAAAATAAAATATCTGACATGTGTAATCAGGTAATAGCTAGGGTAGAACCAAAAAATAGGAGTAGTATTGGGGACTTTTATTTTTAAAATACCACAAACTCTCATATCCTCACAACTAATTGAGTCATATAACATGAGGCTGACTATAAAGAGTAGTGTAGTAGTAGTGAAAAGAGAAATGAAGGGGTACAATACGATAATCTCATCACACATGAACACAAGTTGTGTATTACAGATCTAATGGCAAAGGCATAGAACAAAACTGAGGAGCTAGACAGATTAGCTAATTTAGGAACTAATACAGGACCAATGACACTGACTGATCTAAAGCAGATGTCAACTAACATAAAGGCATTTAGCTGTTATCTGTAGCTCTTCCTAACATGTCTTCTATGTCAGTGTTGGGCACAGAACTGTATCAGTAAGGCAGGCAGAGAACAGGTTCTGTATGGCTGAGAGGCCTCTTCTAAGAACATGGATGTAAACACCATTGCTAGAAACAGTTAAAGCACACGGATGGGAAAAATGTGCTGCTTCAGGAAATGACTTCGTAGGCAGTGTTTGGAGTCATAAAAGAGTTGAGTATAAATCTCAGCTTTGGCATTAACAGTTATATGACTGCCCTATCCACATGTAAAAAAAAAAATCAGTATTTCCGCTTCATCTACAAATTAGGCAAAAGCCATTTACCTTGCACAGAGTTATGAGCGCTAGCACTAACACAGTTTAATCTATCACAGTGCACTGCACACAGGAGCACTACATTGATCATATAATTCTCCTGTTCCCTATCTAAAACTTTTTTTTTAATTGTGCTTTGGGTGCAAATTTATAAAGCAGATTTGTTTTACATTCATACACATTTGATTTCATGGCCCTGATTACCATCCCACCCATAAAACACTCTCTTCCCCTCTCTTCCCCGTGACTACCTCCTCCCTGTGCCCTTCTTCTCTATGCATTCCCGTCTGTCAAGCTTTCCCTTTATGTGAATGATGCCCCCTGATGTCTCATGACTGGTTGATCTAAGGGTTGCATCACCCTGGGGTAGGTGTTCTGCATGTAGGTCTTTCTACTGTTAGACTGAGATCCAATCCATGGAAGTGAGTCCATTTCTAGGTCTGAAGGGTAACCCCAGGCCATAGTCTCGAGGGTTCCACCAGTCTCTATCTCACCAGTAATTCTGGTCATTTTTGTGTAAAACTAATTTCCTGCATCTAATGTCATAATTCTAAATAGCAACTATATAGCACTTCATTTTCTACAAATGTTTTACAATTATTTTGTTCCAGTTGGCAATGGGTAGAGAAAGCCATGTTGTGTAGCATTTCAAAAGTTTTAATAATCCTTATTTATAAAAACAAGAGCATCTTGATTAGAGTGTATCTATAAAGCAATTTATATTTTTCTTCACTAACAAAAAGGCAATACTTTGCATTTGGACCCAGATATTATACTTGGAAAATTGTACTCTTTTAAATATAAACTATTTTAGAAGAAAAAAGAATAGGAATTTAGAATTAGGCTTGACTAAAAAACTCACTCGACTTTCCCTTTCTTTTTTAGCCATGAGTTCAAGTTCTTCTTTGGCATTATTCAGTTCTTTTTCCATGCCTGCAACTGTATCCAAGTCTCCTACAAATGAACACACAAGTTAGTTTTAATTGTTGTCAACATAATGTGATCAGAGTTCATTATCTTATTTCTCAAGAATTTACTCTGAAGGCACTCTCCAACTATACAAACACACACACACACACACACACACAGGTTTTCTTTGCATCATTATTTATAATAGCAAATTGCTACAATCAGCCTATATGCCTATAAAGATGGAATAAATCACATCATATTCACACAATAGAGTACCATGTATGCATGTAAAATAAAATAAAGAAGATTTTTATGAATGAATATGAAGTGATTTCCAAGATATGCTGCTAGGTAAAAGCTAGGTGCAAAAAAAATGCATCTAGTATAGGACGTTTTATATTAAGGGAAAGGGACAAATGAGACACATGCATACACCATAAACACATATGACTAATTCACTTATTTTTGCAAAAAGAAACATACCCAGAAACGAAATTGGTTACACACACAATCATAGGAGAATAGAAGGGCTGTGTATGCACAGGGAGACAGCTCAGGGGGCAGAAGTACATGGGAGGGAAGGATACAGGGAAGAGGTAACTTTGGGGAGGAAGGGGGAGCGGAGCTGTTGCATTGTGGGAAATTGCAGTCAATGTCATGAGACAAAGTGTATGCGAGCAGCTGTACAGAAAATGAATTTGCTCTGTAAACTTTCACCCAAATCACAATTTAAAAAAAAAAAAAAAAAGAAAGAAAGAAAAGAAAAGAAACTGGTTACCTACAGGGGATCAGTGAAAACAGGAGAGAAGAGATAGGAAAGTAGATGGGTCTATTTGAGTTCTGAGCCATGGTAATATTTTATCTTTTAACGTATAAAGTTAATCCAACAATATTAGGGAGAAAAAGCCAAAAATTTAATCCTAACACAAACAAATGAACCTACCAAGAAGATAATTTTCAAATTAATTCAAGTACATTTTGAACATAACACTCTTAACAGTATACTCTCAGTGACAAATATTATAAGGATAAAAAGAATCACAAAGAAAAATGTTACTTAATAAGTTAAACCAAACTCACTGCCATTGAGTTGGTTTCAACTCACAGCAACCTTTCCTTGGGTTTCCAAGGTGGTATCACTACAGAAGTAGATTGCCAAGTCTTCCTTCTGAGGAGTGGCTGGTGGGTTTGAACCACTGGCCTTACTTCATAGGTTGTTAATAAACAACATAGCTATTCTGAAACTATTTTTATGATGGCAGTACTGAGCAAAGGCATAAATATACTGATGATGCAGGTAAGCACGGTTTTCAAAGGTGGGAGAAGGGGAGGTACAAATATAGGATAAGTGAAAGAAAGAACTTGTGCTATTAAACTGGAATTAGAGTAATCAGTATGCAATCATGAGGTATATATATTCTTAGCCCTGTGCACTAAATAGGGATTAGAAACAAATATATCCTTGTAGCAATAGACACACCCTGTGGCCAGATCTTACTTTCTATATATGCTATTTCCCATTAAAAGGAAGCAGGGGGCTTCTTGGAGTAATGGCTGATTCCAAGACTGCAGCAGGGAACGTAAGAGATGATCACGGAATGTCTTATTATGCCAGAAAGCATGGATGTGGACAAAAATAAATGGGAAAAATATCAAAAGGACAGAAAAACCAGCTTGAAGGGGCTCCCATTAGCCAAATTTGGGAATCAAATAGGATAATTAGGGAAATAGATAATAAAATGATATTTTAAAAGGAACCCTATAAGCCATACTAACACAAACAAATGGTGTGGGAGGACAGGAAAAGGAAAGCTCTTTTTTAATAAAATAAAAGCCACCAATAAATAAAGGAGAAATTTTAGAAATAGAGAATCCCTCTGTTAAAGTACCAGTGCAGTAGTTAATTTAGGCAAAATTTAGACCAAAGATGCTGAAACCACTGGGTGAATGACTGTTGGGAAACAGATGTGTCAACATCTCAAGGCAGCCAGCACATCACTTAATTACCCTCAAAGGGGAAAATGAACCTTTGCAAGGGAGAGATCTGCCAAATATAAACGTAGCCAAATGACTAAACTTATTATCACCCACTGCCACCAAGTCAATTTCTACTGACAGAGATCCTATAGGCCAGAGAAGAACTGGCCCATATGGTTTCTAAGGCTATAAATATTTACAGAAGCAGACTGCCACATCTTTCTTCCACAGGATGGCTGGTGGGTTTGAACTGCTGACCTTTTGATTAGCAGCCAAATGCTTTAACTACTATGCCACCAGAGCTCATCTTATATCATCAAGGATGGTACAAACTGGCATCATATGCTACTGATATGATGCACTGAGAAGGGCATATCATCCACAGAGCACTGATCCTGGCAAATAACTCAATGTGTACTTCTTACCTCCCCCAACACTTTAATGCAATTTAAGGTGTTATCAGGTGACAGTGAGTACTCTTAGCCTAGAAAGATACCCAGGAGAAAGTGTCAGCTCTACAGTCCTACACATGACTAGTGAATCCCAAGTTTGGAAGCACTATCTCCTGCATTTCTGAATCCCTACAAGCTATCTGAAAGAGAGACTCTCAGGATGCAATTTTCCTGGGCCAAATTGTGGACCCAGAGAATAACCTCAAGTCCACATAAGGTAAGGGTAGTTCTGCCTAGACTAGACATGTCCTCAGCTTTTCAGGGAAATACAAACTTTTTTTCTTTCCCCCATCAAATTAAGAAAAGAAAGAGTGAAACACAATGGCCAAAGCTACTAACAGAGTACAGGAAGGAAAGACGGAAGATTCTTTCATGAAATGAAATTTGATACTTACCTAATGTGGACCTGGGTATGCTGGAATCCCCTTTGGTAGTCAATGAAGTGCTATCATCTCTGGAGGGTATTTGCATTGAACCCTAAAAATTGGAAAAGGCAGGGGATTTAAGAAGATCCAGGAATGATGATCACAGTGACAAGGACTTGGACCATTCTCACACAATTTGGTATTAAAGTTATCAAATGTATATGTAAAGTTAAATGTGAAAAAGGAGTACAGTCTGAATGAGTATCTGCATGTCTGTAGCTCTTACTTGATCAGGCTGCTCTCCAAGATGGAGGCCAATGGAGGTAATTTCAGCTGGTTGGTTAGAGATAAGCGCTTGGGACATCATGATGTCTTTCCCTCCTAAATACTGGCGTAGAGCCTGTAATTCTGAATTTCTTTCCATTAGAGCTTGTACCATCTTCTCTGAAGCAGCCTACAAAAGAAATATGATACATAACATTAGAAAGATGGCCTAGTAAAATAAAATTTGTGATCTAATGTTATTTATTAAAAGCCAACCATTTTTGAAAACCCAGTGGAGCCCTAAGAAATAGCTTTCTTATTTTCAATTTACAGGAAGAAATATACTCAAGTGACTGGAAAGAAAGCATCTCCTATGGAATATCAGAAATATTGAATAAACCAAAAAAGAAACAAACAAACCCACTCCCATCAAGTCGAGTCCATCTCATACCAAACCCCACTAGTTTTCTGAGGCAGTAAATTTTCACAGAAGTAGATTGCCCCATATTCCTTCCACGGAGTGGCTGGTGGGTTTGAACTGCCAACCTTCTGGTTAGCAGTCAAATGCCTTAGACACTGCACCATCAGAGCTCACATCTATTACACATAAAAGAACACAAAATTGGTTCTGTTCGAACTCTAACAGGCTAAAGTTTTAAGATTCTGGTTTGAACTGGGACAACAGATGATTGATTCCTTCAGCCTGGAATGCTCTTTACCCAAACAATGGTGTGCTCAGCTCCCCCCTTCAAGTCTTTGCCAAATGTCACCTTATTCGATTGGCCTTCCCTGAATATCCTATGTAAAATAGCAAGCTCTTCTCTAATTTCCCTTCAGTATTTTATATTTTTTCCCACTGCACTTATCATTACCTGATATGTCTGTTTATTTCTCTCTCCCTAAACTAGAATGTAAATTTCCTAAGAGGGGGTACTTTGATATTTTGTTAACTATCGAATCCCAAGCACCCATAACAGTGCTTTGCACATAGTAGGTATTCGATACATACTTACTGAATGAAGAATTATATAAACATTTTTATTATGTCATATAATGTGAGGAATCTAAATCTCAAAATCACCAAACCAAGTTTGTTTCATTTCAAATACTACTTTACCTAGAGAGATGACACAGAGGAAAGAGCTAGAACATTTTTTTGTGACCATTACTGCACATGAAGTCTACATATGCAGTAATTAGAAAATCTGAAGATAATACATTAAGACAAAAATTACTGAGGGTATAAAATGAGAATGGGACCTAGGTGAACTATATTATAGCAGCAATTGTCTCTGAGAAGAAGTACTACCTGTTTTAGAAGAGAACCTGAATTTTTGTCATAATTTCTAAGGGGAATTTAAAAAAAAAAACTTCCATTTTTAGTAAGTAAAATTTAGGTTCTTTGGGCATTTGGGCAAAATCGTTTATCAGTACATTATTAGTTTGCCTTAATAAATATCTCTGTGAAAATTATTATGGGAAAAAAACTTTAATCAATAACATACAAAATATGATCTGTGGTCTATTTGCCTTGGTATATTCTTCTTCTCAACTCAACAACTCACTCCCTTTGGGTCGAACCTGACTGACTCACAGGGACCCTTCCTTGAGTTTCTGAGGCAGTACCTCTTTGGAAGTAGATTGCTCAATCTTCCTTTTGAGAAGCTTTTGATGAGTTTGAACTGCCAGTCTTCTGGTTAGCAGTTAAATGCCTTAGGCACTATGCCACCAGAGTTCCCATCCTTTTTCTAGAAAGTGCTGAATCTAGCACTGCTCCTCAGAGTGTGATTCATGGACCAACAGCAGCAGCAGCACCATCACCCAATGCAAATTCCCAAGTTCCACCATATACCTCCTAATTCTATCTATGGGGGTAAGCTCAGGAATCTTTAAAAAGCTAAACAGGTGATCCTTTTGCATATTAAAATTTGAGAAGCAAATTTAGAAAGACACAACTGTTAACTCTTCTTCTTGAGCTAAAAATCTTCTTTTAATTTTCATTGTTTTCTGGGTTCTATTATTTTAATACCTATTGTTGTTATTTGACTAGAGTATATAATATTTCTTTCTGAAGTGTTTGGTTAGTTCTCTTCTAAAAGCAATTTCTGGTGCACATGTCAGCAGTTTCTAACAAAATGTGAATTTACATCAGTGGGTCTAAGGATTAGAAAAGTGGAATGTAACCATCCTGTAAGATAAGGAAACATTAGGGAATATTATGGTCAAATAACAAGGGCTAATGATAAGAATCTAGTCCCCTCTGAAAACTGACTAGGAGGTTCTGAGTTATGGGTCTCTGAAATGTAGCACAAGCTAACTATAACAGTCTCTAGTCTTAAAGAGGAAGACACACGAAAATGAGGATAAATTAAGAATTTACTTCAGAAATATGTATCATTATTCTGAGATTAATATATCCCATATTGCTATGAGGTTATTTATTCTTATCTTGACCTTTGAAAAAACACAGTATTTTTTCCCCTTCTTAAAAACACAGGTTTTACAAGAAAATCCATGAAGTATAAGTTTTCTCATATCTTAGCTGAAAATGAAAACTATTACTCAGCCCTGATATTTTAGAATCTAAATTAAAACCTTCCAGAATGCCATCCTCTTTTCTTTCAAAATGATCGAAGTATTAAAGAAAAGAAAATGTGCATAATGAAGTTAATTGGCATGTATCCTGTTTAGACACCCTTCCAAATGAAAATGGATTCTAAAAATATTTGATACTTTGATGACTGATGTAAATAAGTAGTCTAGCTAATATACTGAAGAAAAAAACTAACAGAGCTTACTATAAAATAATATAAATACATACATTCTATAAGGTTCAAATGCTTCCTACCTCCAGACCATAAATGCAGTAACTGATATGCCTGTGTTCTCTGCATTAGTCCTTACCTGGCCCTCCTGCTCCCTGGTGCTCATAGACTGAAGCAGGCCCTGAATCTCCATTTCATGTTCCACAGCTTGTTTGTTCCGGTCACTTAGAAGGTCCTGCAGCATCCTTTCCTTCCGATGTAGACGCTGGCACAGCTCCTCAGCTATTTCGCTCTGCTCAGGTCCAAGCTTGCAGAGTAATGTTGCACTAAGATCCTAACACAGAAGGCACAGCATAAGGTTCTGGAGGAAGGAATTCCCTCTACTGTATATCAAAGGGCTTATAAGGATCTATTGTAGAATAAAGAGAGACCTGATTCTACTGAGCTATGACATTCTTGAGAGCGAGTATCATGTTTTACTCATTTTTGTATCCCCAGATCTAGCACAGGATCACCAGAAGGCTGCAAATACATGCTCAGTGAATGAACACTAACAACACAGAAAAAAATATACCGATACCGGCAATTTACATATTGTTTTCTGAAATAGTCTCATCCCCATTTGCTCAGGGCACATAATAATTAATATTAAAGTGAGGATAAAAGGACATTCAGTTCATATATTTCATTTTTTTTTCTCCTCCGTGTAACTATCTAGAGTGAGCACAAAATGATAAGCTGAAATACAAGAACAATGAGCATAGTATTTATTAGGTTGGTGACGTAGTTCCTATTTCTATACTGAGAGGCAGTACATGGTGGTTAAAACTATACAGCCATAGTGTATAGGTTGAATACTGGCTTTCCACATTGTACCTATGTGTACCTATGTACCTTAGGTAAATTACTTAACCTCAGACATCTGTTTCCTTGTCTGTAAAACAAAGATAATAATAACACTTACCTCAAAGAGTTGTGAGGATTCAGTGAGTTAATATCCATTAAGATCTTAAGACAGTGCCTGACACACCATAAACACTCAAGAAAGGTTAGCTATCATTATGTAGACACATTTTACTGAACTCATTAATTCTCACATAACTTCTCTAAGGAAGATAATTATCACCTTAAGTTTATAGTCTTGGGGAAAAAAGTCCCAGTGAAAGTCATTGACTTTCCCAGGCACAGAATAGAATTAAAGACTTGGATCACTGACTTCCCAGACAACAAGCATCCTAATTCAAGACTGAGATGATGTACTCACTAAACTAACTGTCTTTAAGTTAACTAAAGTCTTGCCTCCACTTCCTTGTTCCTGTCATGCAGAGATGTCTGTAACTGCTGAACAATACTTTCTTGTTCCTTCTGCCAATGGCTAAATTTGGTTTCCATTTCTTCTTTCAGCCATTGGAGGTTTTGACAGGTAGCAGATAACTGTTCCACTTCCAGGCCTTTGGCCCTCAGGAGACTCTCCATACTCTGCAGTCACAAAGAGAGCAATCAATTGTAAGCCAGAGAGTCGATCGAACTCCTTAGGATAAGTAAGAAATTTGACTCACCTTTAAATTATCTGCTAAAGGCAAGTTCAACTTTTTTGCAAAAGGAAAAAAACTTATTAGCTAATTTAACTATGCCACACTAATCTATTTTTTGTTTTCAGAAAGTTTCACCCAGTTTGTAAGAAGGTAAATATAATGTACATGATGAATGAAGTGTTGTACAGGAAGTAGGCTATGCTATAGAGGCAGTGAAGGAACCCCTTCTTTAAGAAGTGCCAGATGGTTAGAAATAAATACTCTAAGATAAGTATGCAAGAGAAAGCCCACAGTAAATGTTAATAAAATAAACAACAGTGCTAATTTTGGTAATACATAGATGTGTACATAATATTAATAGACAAAATACAGTGGCTGTCCCCTGACGATGTAAAGGTGTAGAGATATTAACAAGGCTGAGAAATAAATTAAACCCATTGTAATCAACTCAATTCCAACACATAGTGACCCTATAAAACAGAGTAGAATTCCCCACAATCTTTATAGAAGCAGACTGCCACAGCCTTCTTTAGCAGAGCTACTGGTGGGTTTGAAATGCAAACTTTTCAAATATTTTTACCACTGCACCACCGGGCTCCTTAGAAATAAATTAGAACTATGCCAAGGCGTCTCTTAGAGCTCTGGTAGCGTAGTGCCTAAGGCACTTGACTGCTAACCAGAAGGCTCGCGGTTCAAACCCACCAACTACTCCTCAGAAGGAAGATGGGGCAATCTACCTCTGTAGTGATACTGCCTCAGAAACCCAAGGAGGGGTCGCTACGAGTCGGGTCTGACTCGACAGCACCTAACAACATCAACAACATGTAAATAAAAATCAATATTCACTGCTTCCCCCCCCCACACACCAAGTTCATAGTATAAAAGAACGTGCTAAAATGTCTCACTTCCTAATCTACAATGGAGGAACTAGTGACTGTGGTTTTTGTATTCTGTTTCTTTCTTTTTTATATTTATACTGTCTTTTACATTTACCTACATAGTTGTCAGGAGCTGTGGTGGCACAGTGGTTAAGGTTGCTAACCAAAAGGTCAGCAGTTTGGACTTACCACCCACTCTGTGAGAGAAAGATATAAGTCTGCTTCAGTAAAAATTTACAGCCTTGGGAACCCTATGGGGCAGTTCTACTCTGTCTTACAGGGTTGCTAAACAGTCGGAATTGACTTGACAGCAGTGGGTTTGGTTATGTAGTTTTGTTGACCAGTGTGTGCGCATGTGCACGCTTTCCTCTTATACCCTCGTTTTCAGAAACTGATGGAAAGGGTTGGAGAAGAATGCAAAGTCAATGATAGGCTTTCCTCCTACTTGCATAAAACTCACTGCTGTCGAGTCGGATCTGACTTATAGCAATCCCTCCTTGGGTTTCCCAGGTGGTATCACTACGAAAGTACATTGCTCGACCTTCTTTCTGACTTACTTGCATAGTAGCTTCATTATAGGAGAGGACACCACGCAGTCTTTCCAAGTCATGATCTCGTTCCCTAACAGCAAGATGAAGGTGACGCAGTTCTTTTTCTTTTTCTTCTAGAGCAGAGAACTTTTCATCGATGACCCGCTGCAAAGAAAAATAAAGCTCCATAATATTCACTAACCTCATCACTGTTACGCAATAAGATTCAAAACATAACGGAATGGAAAACCAACTCTTAAAAGCAGTGAATTAAGTAGACACAAATGTCTATGGAACCTGTATGGGCAGCATAATGCAGAGTGTAGACAGCAAAGTCATGATACACACCTCGAGAGCAGCATCTCTATCTTGGATCCGCTGCCGAAGTTTCTCAAGCAGCATTTCATTCGCTTCAAGGGTTTTGTCTGAGCTATCCCGATATTGCAGGAGCTCCCGAAATTCCTAAAGAGAGCAAAAATTATTTGCCTTTATTTATTTATTTCTCTAACATTAACTGAATTCATACAATTTGCCATGTTTAGGGGAACACAGTTTAACAGAGATAAAAGACACATAAACTGTTAACTGTCCTGAAGCATAGGGGGAAAAATAAAATTCACTGCCATCAAGTTGGATCCAACTCCTAGTGACCCCTCCTCCTTAGGTTCCCGGGGTAGTATCTCTATGGAAGCAGATTGCCCAATCTTCCTTCTAAGGAGTGGCTGGTGGGTTAGAAGTACCAGCCTTCTGGTTAGCAGTCAAATGCTTTAGGCACTACACCACCAGAGCTCCCTCTGAAGCATAGATATCCACACAAACATATATGTATATACATGTATGTGCATGCACACACACACACACATCTCTGTGAATAATATGGCCCTACTTTCAGTATTCTGTTTTCCTAGCACCCAGCATAATATCTGACTTATAGAGGTGTTTAATAACCATTGGTTGAATATTTATTGCTTAAGTCTTTCAGGTCCATATATATTATTTCCTATGGTTATTAGATTGGTTAGCATCTTGACAGAGGAATTGTATTTTCTATCTATTTTTAATCTTCTTGATACCCACTGCTCAATGTTCTATATGTAACAGGTACTCAATACAGGTGAACTAATACACATTTGTGTGTGTGTGTGTGTGTGTGTGTGTGTGGCACTAATTACTAGAGAAAGAGGGTTCCTGGGTGGTGTAAACTTTTAAGCATTTGATTACTACCTGAAAGGCTGGCAGTTTGAACCCACTCAGAGGCTGCCTCAACAACATGCCTGGTGATCTGCTTCTAAAAGGTCACAGCCTTAAAAATCCATGGGGTCACCATGAGTCAGAATTGACTTGACAGCAACCATCAACTAGGGGTACACAGGATGCATTGTCTAACTCTGCCTGAAGGTGTCACTAAAGACCTCACAAAGGAAGTAACATTTAACTGTGTCTAAAAGACTCAGGAAAGAAGCTAAATTTCCCCAAATGAAGAGGTGTGGGTATTTCACACCTCTTCAAATACTATTTCAGAATATACATGATATACGGGAGCTCTGGTGGCATAATGCCTAAGGCCTTGACTGCTAACCAGAAGGCTGGCGGTTCAAATCCACCAGCCACTCCTCGGAAGGAAGGTTGGGCAATCTACTTCTGCAGTGACACTGCCTCAGAACTCAAGGAGGGGTCGCTATGAGTCGTATCTGACTCCACAGCAGTGACTGCGCTTTACATAATATATGCATATTATAAAAAAATAATAATTTGCTTAGCAAAATGCAAGGGTGATAGAACTGATCCCTGCATTCTTCTTGTTGTGTGCTGTCAAGTCAATTTCCAGACAGTATCCATGTGATAGAGCAGAACTGCCCTCCATAGAGTTTCCTAGGCTGTAAACTTTAGGAGAGCAGGTCTCTTCTCCCAAAGAGCCACTGGTGGGTTCGAACTGCCAACCTTTGATAAACAGCAAATACTGAAAGCAGGGCCATATATTCTGTGTTCCTAGCACCCAGCATAGTATCTGACTTATAGAGGTGCTTAATAACCATTGGTTGAATATTTATTGGTTAAGTCTTTCAGGTCCATATGTACTATTTCTTACAGTTATTAGACTGGTTAGCATCTTGACAAGGAATTGTATTTTCTATTTATTTCTAATCTTCTTGATACCCACTGCTCAATGTTCTATATGTAACAGGTACTCAATACAGGTGAACTAATACCTTGAGATTATATGAACAGTAATTTCAGAACTCTGTGAGCCCAATTTTAGTTGAAGTCATTATGTCAAACTCACCTGTAGCAGCTGGTCTTTGTGACTTAGACTATGGTTTAGATGCTGAATGTTCTGCTCCTGGGTTCGAATCTCACTGTATTTTTCAGCCTCCAGGGTATGAAGTTGTTGGTTTTTATTCTGCAGTTCTCCTTGTAGTTGCTGCAGGGCTTTTCTTAATTCCTAAATAAAACATATTCCCTTTTTTAAGCAGTCTAAAATCTTTACATGGTCATTAGAGATGGAGGCCTTAAAACTTCCAAGGCATATAAAACTAAGTGTAAAGTAGCACAAAGTATCAGTCTTAAAACTCCTATCAAAATGCTATAAGTGAATTGAGTAAAAAAACAAACCAAACACACTACTATCAAGTTGATTCTGACTCAGAGGCTCCCATGCCTCATCTTTCCTCCACAGAGCAGCGGGTAGGTTCAAACTACAGATCTTTTAATTAGCAGCCAAATGCCTTAACCATAGCACCACCAGAACTCCTTAGTGAAATGAGTAACCAAAAACCAAACCCACTGCCATGGAGTCAATTCCAACTCATGCTGACCCCCATTGGGTTTCCGAGGCGGCAAATCCTTACAGAAGTGGATTGCCCAGTCTTCCTTCCGCATAGTGATTGTTGAGTTTGAACTGCCAGTCTTCTGGTTAGCAGTCGAATGCCTTGGGCACGGTGCCACCAGAGCTCCTTAGTGAACTGAGTAGGATCTGAAAAATTATGGTACTTGAGGATGGGGGTAGGAAGTAAATTTTATATCACAGGTCAATACCTATTTTTGTTTTAAGAAAGATAGAGTTATATAATTGTTAAATGGGACTCTATCTCACCATGAACTTGGATCCTTTACTCTATAATAAGCTCAAGGATAGGGTATTCTATCATCTTCTCATCCACATTTTCTAAAGAATTCATGAAGACTGTCAGCTTTCCTAATAAGCTCTGGTGGTACAGTGGTTAAAGCATTTGGCTGCTAACCAAAAGATTGGTGGTTCAAATCCAACAGCCACTCCACAGGAGAAAGATAAGGCCATCTGCTTCCATAAAGATTTACAGCCTTGGAAACACTATGGGGCAGTTCTACTCTGCCCTATAGGGTCTCTATGAGTCAGAATTGACTCACTGGCAGTGGGTTGTTTTTTTTTTTGACGTCACAGAACAACAATAACAACAATATGCCATATATATTTTTCTAACAGTAAGATCAGTAATCCTATTGTAGATGGAGATGGTTTAACCATCTGTTACTTTTGTTGTAATTGTTGTTATGTGCCATTGAGTCGGACGCGACTCATAGCGACCCCTCCTTGGGTAACCAAAAAATATATTGTCACACCAAGTAAACAAAATTTAGGAAATTGTTTCATTTACGTAAACAGCAAAAAGTTAAGGATTATTTCCATACTCATCCCCCCACTTCCATCTACCTTTCAACCTCCCTGACTCAAGATACCTGAAATTTTAATTTTTTCTGATGACAACTCAGGACGAATATTTAATCTCCAAAATAGTTACCACCCCAGGAATGCCTTTAAAAACTACATTTTTTTAATCCTAAATATTACAGAGCCTAAGAAAAGAGTTATATCACATGAAAAATTGTTTATATCTTATTTAAAAAAAAAAAAAAAGCATATGCTATAAGCTAAGAGGATAAAGGAATCATTTAAGAATTACATATTTTATTTACAAAAAAATGATTAATCATGCAAGCTCTTCATCTTGGTTGTTCTTTGCCTACTTCTCTGGCTGGTTGACTTTTAGCCATCCTTCAAGAACAGCCTCAGACAATTCCTCTTCCAAGAAGCTTTCCTTGACTCCCTTCCTCTGCCCTTCCTATATAATCCTATAGCACCCCACGCATAACCTCCTCTCCAGTAGTTACCACACTGAAATTCTATTTTTGTGACTGTTTCTCATACTAAATCTTTTAAGTAGCTTAAGAGGAAAAAGGCTAAATATTATTCACTCCTGCATTTCCAGAACGCTGTCCAATAGTGGCATGTGAACACAGCAATACATGTTTTTGAACTGAGTTACTTAGATTAAGCAAGTGATTCAAAGGTAAAACTGTCCTGCAACAAAGTTATTATCAGGGCAAAGTCAGCATTTAGGACCATACAGTAGTTAATGATTTACCTGGTTATGTTTCCACAAAGCCTCTTTCTGCTGTTCTCTCTCATGGCCTGCAGCTTCTACAAATTGCACACGTCGTCTGGCATCAGCCAGTTGGCGTTCTTTCTGTCGTACCACCCTCTGAAGCTTCTGTATTTCAAGCTGGCTGCAGAATAAAGCACTCTGAAGATCAAGCAAAGCCACCTGTTGTTGGGCTGGAGAAGTACCCTCTGAACTCTGAAAAGATAGTAGAAATCGTAATCATGAGGAGGGCAAGTATTGAGCAGCTGAGAAGACCAACAAAATCAAGACTGGGACTGCAAATGGCACATTCCCATCAGGGTCTCTCCTCTTGTCCAATATGACCCTCACATACATAAAGTTGTCCAAGCTGGCTTTGGTGTAGCATTTCTCGAAGCTTTGCCATTGTGTCATTTTGACCTTCAATCACTTGGTACAACTCTTCAGTCTGAAAATGAGCAAGGGAGTACCAAACATAAGCTAATTATAAATTCTATTTTCTCAGAATACAATATAAACTAAACCAGAAGACCCACTGCCATCTAATGATTCTAACTCATAGCTACCCTCCCTCCCCAACTGAGTTTCCAAGGTGGTAAATCTTTACAAAAGTAGATTGCTCCATCTTTCTTCCACAGAGTGGCTGGTGGGTTTGAACCACTAACCTTCTCATTAGGAGTCAAATACCTTAGGCATTGTGCCAAAATCTAAAATCTCTATATAGTTTAGTAACAGAACTATTTCAATATACTAATTTAGGTTAAGCTACAATTTCTCCAGGCTGGGATTTGTTAGTCTGACAATATCTGTTTCTGTAATATATAAAATACTTGTCAACTCTGATAGGATAAAGTTTCCTCTTAAGTCGTTGATTGCTAAATAGGTTACCTCACTTTCCCTGCTTTTCAGGGTTTCTTTGAGGCTTTGAATTGTACCATCTTGCTTCTGAGATGACTCTTGAGCAGACTTTAGTTCAAAGCTCATTTCATTTAGTTTCTCTTGAAGAATCTGAACTCAATAAAGGAAAACACTGTTAGGTCAATAATTTTTTTGTTTTTAAACCTCAAATACAACCATAAAGTTTTTCCTCAAGTTTAAGGTTTAAGGAGTTTGTTAGGGAATTTTACCATTCTTTTACCTCTCAGATGTAGTAACCACTAAACTCTTAAATAAGCAATCAGTAGGAGAAAGGAGTAAAAATAAGCATACTTCCTTCAACATACAAACGTCTCAGTTCTCATGCACTGTGCTCTCTATGAAGACAGCCTTATGGGGCCCACACCTCCACAAGTCATGTGGATCCCTTACACAACAGATGAAGGAGCTTCTGCCATCCAGTACAGGACAGAACACTACTAGTCCGGAAGCTCAGTAACCCAAATTGTGAGCATTTTCTTCTAAGCAGATGTTAAAATCCATGGGGTGAGAAGTTAGGCCAGAATGCAAAGCACAAATCTCCTGGACCATGTCTCATAAAGTGAAAGATTGCATTTAAGTTTTAATAACAGACCTAAAAAGCATCAGAAACTGTGACATGTACAGAGCAAGCTAAAGTCCTGATGAGCAATAAAGAGAAGAACTACACTTTTAAGTCAAAAATTCCCTAGAGCGAGCCTGATGGAACCACTGAGACTATGGCCCCTAGCTGCCCTTCAGGTCTGGAATTGAACCCACACCTATTGTTTCCAGCCAAACAAAAGTACAGGCATGTGAGTTAAACATTTACCTCAAGTAGACACATGCCCTGGAGAGAACAATCATGGGAGAAGGAAGGGCTGCTTATCACAGGGAGATAGCTCAGGGTGCAGAAGAGTATGGAGGGATGGACACTGGGAAGAGGTAACTATGGGGAGGAAGTGGGAGGGGAGCTGTTGCATTGTAAATTTTGGTCAATGACATGAGACAAAGTATATGTGAACTGCTGTATGAAAAGTGAATTTACTCTGTAAATCTTCACCCAAATCAAAATAAAATTAAAAAAAAAAAAAGGGAAAAAAAGTAAATAAAATAACTTTGTATTTAAAAAAAAAAAAAAAAAATTCCCTAGAGCACCAGGAATACAGAGTGTTCATTTCCCATGTCCTATTCAGAGAGGTTAACAGTCTAGCCCTAGTCACATCCTCAGAAAAACCCTGTGACCCCCAAGGGCATGTTATTGATCATACCTTGTTAGTGGCCTCTGTTTGCTGGATTTTTTCCTGGAGTTCTGCTAAGTGGGACTCAGATACACACTGTTGAGTTATAGTGGTCTCATTTGATTTTAGCTTTTGTTGTTTGAGTAGCTCTTCTGTCATGGGCTAGGAAGAAGCAATAAGACAAGCTGAGTTAAATGCAGCTAGCAATTTTTGTCTTCAAAAGTCTCTGGCATCTTTTGGAGGAGATTAAGAAATCCATAGTTGTTGCGTGAATTATGTGTATTAAGAAGAGAGCACTGATTTACTTCCATCTTTGCTATACTCCCTAACTCCCCTCCACACCTTTCCTTCCCAACTCACACAAACATTCCACGTTCAGTTAAAGGAAATAATCAGAGTTTTAAGAGATGAAGGAATAATGCAAGAAAAATGCTTGTGAGATCAAATATGTCTTTATTTTTCTTTTTTTAATCAGGAGATTCAAAAGACATACTGATCTTGATGTACATGCTGGAAAGTATTTAGGAGTGAAGTAAACTGATATCTCTATGCTACCCTGAAAAGCATTAAAAATAAGATGGACTTAGGGATGGATAGTGTGTGATAGATGGATAGACATGTGATGAAGCAAATACAGTAAAATGTTAACTGCAGGATCTAGATGGTGTGTATATTTGTGTTCACTTTTGTCAACTATTTTACAATTTTTTCAACTTTTCTGTTTTTAAATTTTCATAGTTAACACTGGAAAAATCATTTTAAATTATGAAATTTCATATTATTTGATAAGAATTTTGTTACATATGTTCCTTCAGAAATGTATGACAATATCCTTTTAAAATTTTTATTAATTTTAAGAACTAAGAAAACTTAGACAAATACAGAATATTATAATCATTATGTTTTCTACATTAGAAACTGACATTTTTACATAGTTACTTTGCCTTTTTTTTAAAAAAATACCATATTGCAAATATAATTATTTATACCTAAAAAAAAAGGCATGCTGGTCAAACATGTATTATCCCTAACAGAAAACTTGTATTTCAATAAGTTTTCTTGGCAATTTTTTAATATGGTCTCTGTATTAGATTATAATGTTTCATCATTACTAAATTTCCTAGATTTGGTAATTACACTACAGTTATGTAAGAGATGTTCTCATCCTTAGGAAATATATGCTGAAGTATTTAGAGTAAAGGGGAATAACATCTGCAACTAATTCTCAAGTGCTTCCAGGGAAAAAAATAATGTGTCCATATAGAGAATAACCAAAACAAACCAAACTCACTGCCATCGACTCAATTCTGACTCATAGTGAGCCCCACTGGGTTTCCAAGGTGGTAAATCTTTATGAAAGCAGATTGCTCCATTTTCCTTCCACGGAGCGGCTGGTGGGTTTGAACTCCCTACCTTCTGGTTAGTGGTCAAATGCCTTAGGCACTGCACTACCAGAGAGCTTTATATGGAAAATGGGATCGATAAAACAAATGGAGTAAAATATTAACAACTGGTGAGTCCAAGTAAAGGATATATGGGAGTTTTATGTGCTTCTCTTACAATTCTACTATAAGTTTGAGATTATTTCAAAATGAAAAATTAAATTCAAAAATACAGATGCCTATTTAAGTAGATTTACAGCACATGCCTATATAAATAACCCATTGTGGTATGGAAAGGAATACTTTTATAGGAATATCAATTCACCAGAGAAATTCAGGGGGAAAAATGCCTATTATTGATATATGAGAAAAACAATCATATTAAGATAAACTTATTGAACTCTGTGGGATCTCTGGTGGTGTAGTGCCTAAGCCATTTGACTGTTAACCAGAAGGCTGGTGGCTCAAATCTATCAGCCAATCCTCAGAAGAAAGGTTGGACAATCTACTTCTGTAGTGATACTGCCTCAGAAACTCAAAGAGGGGTCGCTATGAGTCAGATCCGACTCAATGATACTAAGTTTGGTTTCTGGTTTTATTGAACTCTATATAATATTATGAGCTAACAGCACTAAAATAAAACTTTAGGAATTCACTGTGCCATTAAATTCCATCTCTCCTTCAACTCTATTCACACAAACACACACACTCCAATTAAGAAAAAACACAAACTCATTAGGAACAATAAAAAAGTCAATTACCATTCATTTTTTCCTTTCTTTCACCCTTTCAAAATTTGATTATCTTCTAAGCAGTAAGGCTACAGCTTACCTTAAATCTCTCCCTGCAAGCAACCAACTGGAAGTGTAAAGATTTCAGAAAAAAAAATCTCTTTTATTTAATTTATCCAGTTGCTATTTATCAATTTTCTAACATCTATTAAGTACTATAATGTACAAAGTATTCTGTAAGGCAATATGAAGAATACCGTGGTGACTAATACATGGTCCTGGCTCCAAAAAGTCTTAATCTACTGAGGAAGTAGTCATATCATGAAAATATATAAGAAAACATTCAATTTAATAGGAAGAGTCTTCTTAGAAAAGACAGAATTTAAGCTGGGCCCAAATAGAGAGAAAGAGAGAGAGAATTTCCACAGGTAGCTATGACAGATAAAGGAAAGGTATTCTAGGTAGAAGAAACAAGAGAGAAATGCAGGGAGAATGGATGCAAAATGCTGACTTCTAACCCTATCATCTTTATGTAATTTATCACTAAAGCCAAGCTACTCTGAAGAATTGGAAAGATGCTATTAAAATTGTATCAAAACAACCAGTGTAACCTGAGTCTATTCTAGACAAACCTGGATTTGTTATCTTATTTTTAAGTCTGCAGCCATTTCTGAACATCTAGTAAATTCTGCAGACTAGCAGGAAAAAATATTTACTAAATACTTCCTTAGGGGGCTACATAAAAGTTCTCACTTCATCTTCACAAAATCATGCTATAAGGAAGGTATGATTTTTCATATTTTATGAACAAAGAAACTAGAGCCAATATATATATTGGCCAATATAAGGCCGATGTGTGTGGTGGATCTGAAATTTAAACCAAACTTGTAGTTTCTAAGCTCATTTTTTTCCCCCTGCTGTAGTGCAGTAAATTACATAGTGTTGCTTTTCTAGCCATAAGTCTTTGTAAACTCTGCAGTGGATTTGCCGTGAGCAAATGAGTAGCTCCTGATTGCTAAAGTTATCCACCTGGGATATTTCTGTTGAACAAGCATGAAGCAATCTTCTGGGAAGTTCACTCTCTCAGGTGTACAGAATTCTGATGTTAGGACTGGTTAGTGGTCACTCTGCCAAACTCAAAAGGAGCCCTTCTGGAGACAGAAGAAGTCTCTTTGTCTGCTGGCTGAGAAAGACATGCTGCTGAGAGAAACATGCTCTTGAGAGACTGAGAGAGGGACCGTCAGCTGAGAGACAGCAGCCGGCTGTGAGAGACTGAGTGCATTTCTGAACTTGAGTTGTAGCCTGTTTCTTCCCTAATAAACCCCATAATCTGTGAGTTCTGTGTGGCCACTGCAGCAAATTACTGAACCCAGCAGAGAGGTGGGGGAGGGGGTGCTGTGAGAGGAACAGTTAGTGTCAGGGTTGGTGAAAGAGCTGGAGGGAGGCAGCATGTCTGGCCTCACAGGGATAGGCCTTGGGCTACTACTGATGGTAATTCTGTCTTCCTCTTGTGCAGTTAGAGGAGGTCAGAAGATGCAGCCTCCTTGCCCCCTTGGCACCTGCTATACTATTTTGTAGGTTAAATTTCATAATTCTAAAAAGCAAAGGAATCATAAAGGTATCAAGAAATATTCTCAGTTACAAAGAGATACATGAGAGGGGATGAAAAGAAATCATCATGAAAATTATGGTGAGTTGATAGACCATTTCAGTTATTCCCTAGAGTCTAGCTCTCACTGCTTATTTTTAAACAGAGTGATGCTTACCCACTGGCTTTTGTTATGGCTACTACAGAATGAGTAGTACTTGCTAGTAGCTGTATAACACTAATTTCCTTCATTCACTTACCCATTTACTCAATACACATCTGTTGAAGACCACCTATGTGCTAGACATTGTTCTGGGGATACAGTACTATGCAGGATAAACAAGGTCTCTGCTCTTGGAATTTAGGTTTTGTGGGGGTTGAAGTGGGGAACTGGGCAATAAAGAAAACAAGGAAATACACAAAATATCAGATCGTGACAGGCACTATGCAGTAAAACGGGAAAGCATAAGAGAGAGTTAATGGTTAAGTTACCTTAAATCAATTGATAGAAGGAGGTCTCTAAAAGGTAGCTTTTAAATACAGATCTGAATGACAAAGAGTGAGTCCTTCAAAGATCAACAGAACAATACAGGCAGAAGTACTGCTAAAGGAAAAGCCCTAAAATTTATAAGAACTTGGGAAGAGAAAGGCCTCTGTGGCTAGAAAAGCACTTTTTAGAGCTCTGGTAGCTTAGTGCCTAAGGCACTTGACTGCTAACCAGAAGGCTGCAGACTAGCAGGAAAAAAATATTTACAGAAGGCTGGCTGTTCAAACCCACCGGCCACTCCTCAGAAGGAAGATGGGGCAATCTACTTCCATAGTGATTGTTGTTGTTGTTATGTGCCGTCGAGTCGGCCCCGACTCATAGTGATACTGCCTTGGAAACCCAAGGAGGGGTCACTATGAGTCGGGTCCAACTCGACAGCACATAACAACAGTAGAAATATAACACAAACTACACACTTCTTCTTAAATTTTCTAGTAGTTTCATTGAAAAAAGTAAAAATAGGTCAAATTAATTTTAATGAAATATTTTATTTAACCTAATACATCCAATACTAAAAATTATTAACTAAGTATTTTACATTCCTTTTTCATACTAAGTTTTTAAAATTTGGGTAGTATTTTCCATTCACATCACATCTCAACGCAGACTAGCCACGTTTCAAGTGCTCAACAGCCACACAAGGCTAGTGGCTACCTTACTGGATAGCACAGGGTGAGAGCATAATGCGCAAAGGGAGAGTAACACACGGTAACATGGGTACGAAGCGACCAGACCACAGACAGCTTCTGTAAGCCTGGGTTAACAAAGTTGAATTTTATTCTCATTGAAATGATACTGAACTTCAGTATTTTTAACAGAAAAGTAATCCAGTGCTATTTACATTTTAAAAAAATCTCTTTGCTGCTCTGTGGTCAATTGATTGTTGGGGACCATCAGGAGAAGCATGAAGACTG